TTTACTGCCAACAATAGATTCGCTTAATGACCATGTCATTCACTTAATGACTGCAGCAAAAAAAAGGGTCTTAAAATCAGGCATAAAATGGGAAGCTCAATTATGGTGCTAAGTCAAGGACCATCTCTATTGTAGATACTGTCCATATTTCAGGAGGGAAAAGTAAAGCAGGCACCCTTCCAGAGAAGGCTGACTTCTGGTAATTACATTTTCCTGTTTTGTCATTGTTTTAAGTTAGAATACAATAGAATTCTTTATTGGCCAAGTATGATTGGACACACAAGGAATTTGTCTCTGGTGCATTAAGAATGGAGTGTAGTGGAGTGGCAGGGCAGGGCAGGGCATGGCAGAGAGAAGGGAATAGTCAAGAGAAGAGACAAGGGTCAAGAGAAGAGTCAAGAAGAGTCAAGAGAAGAGAAAAAAGAAGGGAAGAGACAAAACTCAAGAGGAGAGTCAAGAAGAATCGAGAAGAGTCAAGAGAAGAGAAGAGAAAAGAGTTGAGAAGAGAAAAGAGAAGAGTCGGGAATTGAGAGAAGAGTCAAGAAGAATCAAGAGAAGAGAAAAAAGAAGAGAAGAGACAAAACTCAAGAGGAGAGTCAAGAAGAATCAAGAAGAGTCAAGAGAAGAGTCAAGAGTCAAGAGAAGAGAAGAGATAAGAGTCGAGAAGAATCAAGAGAAGAGTCAAGAAGAGAAGAGAAGAATAGGGTTTGAAGGGACCTTGGAGGTGTTCTAGTCCAACCCCTTCAAGCAGGAAACCCTATATGACGGCTGCTTTACAACTGCTGTGTTTCCTGAACAAACACCGTTTTATGACCATTATAATTTGAGGTGGTAATGGATAGTCTCCATTATGGTCGTAAGAACTATTTGTATAATGTTTCTGTGGTGGCACAATAGTTTGCCCAATGGCTGTTATAAAAAAGGCACTTTTCTGGTATTTTATAAATACACACACACACACACACACACACACCTTGCAGAGATGAATTTGAAGTCTTCGACAATCAAAATGTCCTTCTCCAGCCCAATTACGAGCCGATTTCGATCCCCTTTGGAAAGCTATAACCTTCCATCGAAGATAGGTTATTCTGTGAAAGATGACAAAAAGCTTTGCCGTGGGTTAGCGTTTTCAATTTTCCCAGGAGAAAATTTTTGTGCATTTGGCTGACCTCAAAGAACACGCACTCAATAATAACCCCAGGTAAGAATCTCGCTGGCTCTTGATCAGGTCAAGGATCACAAGACAATTAATTACTTGCAGTTTTCAGCTCTTCGGAGAACAAGCAAAGGTGATCGGCCCTTCCACTTGTGCGTTGGATTCCGTTGGGTCAAATCCAAAGAGCCTTTGGTGTGTTGCTGACACACTGTTCTGGGTAATTTCTTGGAACTTGACATTATCCATTTTTTAAACACCTCTAGGAATGCTGTCAACTCTTCCTCCTGTTCTTGGCTTCCGAGTTCAAAGTTCAAGTGCAAACCTTTATTGTCAGAGTACAACATGTGTACAATGAGATTGGCTGAGCCTCCCTTCGTGCACCCTCCCCCCCAACACAATACAACTCACAGTGAAGACAGAGAATCCCTAACCCAGGGAATCCTACTAACAAACATGCAATCCTATTGCACCATGTGAACTTAGTGCACGCCGCGCCAGCCCTGCAAGTCGCTCGTACTATGTTGTTGTAAGCAGTGGTGGGATTCAATTTTTTTTACTACTGGTTCTATGGGTATGGCTTGATGGGCGTGCCATGGCTTGATGGGCGTGGCAGGGGAAGGTTACTGCAAAATCCCCATTCCCTTCCCACCCCACTAACGGAAATTTCGATCAGTTCGGAGAACCGGCAAATACCACCTCTGACTGGCTCCGTCCCCATCTATTCTCTGCCTCCCAAGTCCCCGCTAATAGACTGGGTCTTCTTTGGTTGCCCTACACAGGAGAACGGAACTGGAAAGCAGGTTAGTGGGGTGGGGAGGGAAGGGGATTTTGCAGTTACCTTTCCTTCCCCTGCCACGCCCACCAAGCCACACCCACAAAACCGGTAGTAAAACAAATTGAATACCACCACTGGGAGTTAGACCTGTTCTCTGGCTGTGTTGGTTTCGTGCCGCGTCCCGGGTCATCCCAGTGACAGCACTGAGACTCCAAAATGGCTTCAGCCAGGCCAGCTTCAAGGTTGACAACCCTTACATTGAGTAACTGAAAGGGAGACAGAAGAAGGATCACAGGATACAGATAGTTCTCGACTTACAGACACAACTGAGCCCAAGATTTCAGTTCTGTGAATTTTAAGTGAATTTTACGATCTTTCTTGCCAACGTTGTTCAGTGAATCACTGCAGTTGTTAAGTGAGTAACACGGTTGTTACACAAATCTGGCTTCCCCATTCCGACTTTCCTTGTCAAGGGTTTGCAAAAGTTGTTCATATGACCCCATCATAAATAGATGCCAGTGGCCAAGCCTCTGAATTTTGGTCACGTTAGTATAGGGATGCTGCAATGGTCGTAAGTATGAAAAAACAGTCGTAAGTCACTTTTATCCGTTCCATTGTAGTTTCAAACAGTGATTAAACGAAAGTTGTAAGTTGATAACTACCTGTAACAGTTTTTAAATGATAGATAATTGGTAGGTCAAATCAGTTGACTGATGTTAGATTTATTTATTTGTGACTTTTTTAATGTTATATACCAATTTGGCAAATATAGATGCAGACATTCATAAGTTGTGGGCCTGTTTTGCAAAGGGAGGACAATCGTTATATGTAGAAATAT